AGGTTACTTTTGCAGTGTGTTTTCTTTGAATCTCTTTCGTCTTATTCCTTACAGGACTAACTTTGCCTTATTCCAACGGAGTATCTGCCATTGGGTAACGACGTACTTGGAGCGATTCCGTCTGGAACAGTTCTGAATTCCCACATTGTGGCTGAAACTGATGGTTCAATGATTTTTCTGTGAACCTGGAAGGAAGATTAACTTCCTTCCAGTGAAGTGACAGGAAATACATAAATTTCACCTTTTACCACTAGTGAAAATGCTACTCACAGGGAAACTCCTAAAATGTTGCCACATTAAAGAATTTTCTTCTTTAAAAAACTACAATGTTCTGACACAGAAGAAAGTTACTGCATTTGCTTTAAGTAGCCTATTTTCTTCTTGTTGATTCTAGTTCGAGAACTTTCTTCTTTGCTTGTTAATTTTCTTGTCATTCTCGTTTCTTCCACTTCTGCAGACTCGGAACAGGACAAAATTTCTAAAGAAGGGAACGAGATGAAGCAGAATATCCTTTCTCATCTAAACGTCCAGAACATTGTGACGCTAATGTTGATGATTTTGAGCCATGTTCAATGCTGCATTCAACACCGGGAAGAACTCAAATGCGAGGCCGATCGATTTGTGCAGTGCTGACGGATGGCATTGTATTATGTGGATTGCTGCTGGATGATGTTTCACATTCAGCAAGTCCGTCCCCAATGTGAGCATTATCTGGGATTTCAGCCATATTCAAAAGCCAGATACCGGATGCTCGAAAGCCAATGACTGCGTTTCCAGCAGTGGCTACCTTCATCCAGGCCTAGCAAACAATTGGGCATAATGATAGCTTTGTGAACGAACTGACGTGTCTTCTCACAATCCCTGCTACGTCTTCATAAAAGTGAATCTTCAGAGGCTTTAGGAAAGACCTGTCTCTTCGCTGCAACCAATGAGTTGTGTGTAAGGCAAACATAAAATAAAGACAGTCTACGGGCAACAGAGTGCTAAAGCATTTCATTGCCTTTGCGGTGCAAAGAGTGTCCATCTGCTGCAAATACAGCAGGGTGTTTAGAACGTAGTTTGAAGTACGTGATGTGCTGTTTAAGAAGCCAAAGAAAAAATCTCAAGAGTCAATATAACTACTGTTCCTTGTGCTTCCAGGCGGAATATTCTATTTTACTGTCATGTTGTGGATCTGTTCGATTTGAATTTGAAGATGGCAGTCTTCTGGGTTGTTGCGCCATGTAGTCTGGTAGAAGTTTACCGACGTTTCAGAGGTCCTTGCTGCCTCCATCATCAGGGTGATCGTAATTATCATTATTATTATTTATTACATGTTGGCATGACACTCCTGGTGAGATGATTGTAGATTACTTGTAACTAACCAAGATTATTTATTCGTAATCATAATTTTTATGAAATACTTTTCGCCGTATCATTGGTTGACTTAGCCCTTGATAGATTGTTAATTTGACGCTGTTAGTGACACAAGACAAGAGAACAGTGAATGGAATGAGGACTCTATAACTTTTATGAAGTATAAAAACACGATGTAAACAGTTATTTTTATCATAAAGTAGTACTAGTGTGTAAGTACCATGCATTTTTAATCATGGTTCTAGATGCAGCTTTTGTGCAGGCTTCAAGCTGCAACGTCTGCTGTATTTTTCGTAAAAATACCTGTAAGGGCCCTGGATTTAGTGAGGAAGCAATGCCGAAGAGAAAAATTCCCTGCCTTTTCTAATGACTTTACCCCGCATCGTCCGGCCTGCAGCCGGTCTGTTTACTGATTGCTATATATCTTTATACAGAGTGATTCAAAAGGTTAGGGCCAAACTGAAGGAGCGTATAGAGGGACTCAGAGAGAACAACTTTCGAATATATATCAATCCTTCCATATCTATTGAAAGTAGTGAAGAACAGTTTACCTCAGGCTGAAACATGTCTGATTTATATTTTTGTGCTACCAAGTTTGAATCTCGACCTACAGAACGCTAATTCTAATTAATTTTAATGTAACTAAATCTATGTAACACAGCTCTTAAGAAACTAGTCAAGAAATCCCCCGCCTTCTGTGGATCCAAAGATTCACTCCTGTGTTCGCAAGGGCTGCATCCACTCCTTATTCCGGTCCAGCGCATCCATTCCATATTCCTTATAATTTAGGCAAATACTTTTAAATCGACAACGATCATGTTCACATCAGCTCTCTCCCGTTCACTACACGTAATCAACTGCTAACATTCCACTCTAAGTAATATCTGTCGTTGGTGTAGCGTTGTATAATAGCCCACGCACTATCCACGGAACTTGGCAGCAGTATCTCCACACAGGATTTCATGGAATTCACTTTGTGCACGTGGTCTGAGCCGATGTTTAACCAAAGCATATTTATCAGCCAAGTGTAGCATGTTACGCCACTGACCAGGTAAGTGCACGTCCACAAAACAAAAATGCTCTTATTTTAGCTTCGCCATTTGTGTACCCGTTTGTCTGTGTCCATTGTAACCACACGAGAATCGTTGAACTGATATTCACAGAATGCGATACTAGGGATTTTAACTAAAATTTGGTGACATTACAGTTTTGGGTGAAATCGAACGACAATAACGGACATTTTGCATGAAAACCTAGATGTGTTTCTCTTCACTCCACACTTGTTAACTGACTGCAAAAAATGCTGGGAACAAAACGTTTTGAAAATTAGTTATAGTTTCTCTTTTGTTTATCTGTGAATGGACAAAACTCTACATTTTTGGCCCCTGGTTGGTTGAGCTAGTCTCAGCCTAGGACAAAACGTTTAGACATTTGAATAAAACCTTTCAGACGACGAAATAAATCAAACGTGGTAATTATAGGCGCACACTTCTCGTTACATCGCCGTCAGAAACCTCTAATTTAAAAACTTTTGTGTTCAGTAAACATTTTCCGCAAGTAATACGGCTTTCGGGACAGTTAAATAAAACAATTTAATAACTCGAGAAACGGTTGGACTGATGTTAGTTAAATTTATTATATTTGCGATCCTAGTTAGACCGACCAGCTTTTTTATTATTGTATTCAGATCATTAAAAGTTAGCATTCCGGAACTGAAAACGTAGAGGTAATTATAGTCAATGTAAAAGTTTCAATGTTTACGATAATGTGAAACATGAAAAAGTTATGAATGTTTCAGAAACGAAAACTTTGTTTTATATCGTAATGTTCAGGTCCCAGAACAAAGTTTTTATTAACACGCGATTATCAATTTGTGTGTGTTTCAGGTTGGTCGTGATAAGGCCTATCCGCTCCCTGAATCAGGCGAATAGCAAACCAATGCTTTGAACTAGAGACCTTCGAAGCTCGAGTATGTGCGTGATACATTACACATACTGATAGTCATGTACTGTAATTAACTGGTAAAACATATAATGCCTGTAAGAATCGAAGAATGTCGTAGTGGGAGTAGGTAAGGCCTAGATTAAATAAAATGTTAATCTTCCCTCGGTACAGAATTTTGAGAATGTCAGCCTCACAAAACCTCTGTGAGATCCTAAGCGTATTATCGTAAAATGCATTTCGCTCCTAACATATGCAGCTGAAAATCGCGGTTATATAAACTCGGGAAACACTGAAGAAGAAATACACCAACGATCTTTCTGGAATTATTGGCGTGACGATTCTACGAGAGAGATTGCTGCGAACATACCAGATCTAGTCACTCGGTGTGTGTCTCCATAAAGAGGCAAGTTCCAGCTGAATTGTGGCATACGAAGGCACTATACGTAATTCACATAATGTGATCTCCTTTATCATTTCTGACACTAATTAATTTATATCTGTGTGGAAAGGATAATCAGTTTTATACTAATTTAGATTCTTACTAGGTTTTCAATGCCTTATATTTGTCTCCCATAACTTCCAAGTTAAGTTTAAGACCATATGTTTCTTATATTATTATTTTATTACCAGGTTATCAACGTGTGGTTTCCTTGCTTCATTAATATAACTTAATAACTTTATTCCATCGAAATAATTTTTTGTGTACTGACACACGTAAATAACTTGCCATTTTTATTACATTCAGAGCTGAAGTTACGCAAATTAATAGAAAGAGTCGTGATATAATAAAACAATAATTAATATTTTTTCCAATACTTGCATCGTCTTAATTAATACAACGCCAATAAGCAAACGACCAATGGATGGACGTCTTGCACCAATGTGTGACAATACGGGGCAAGAAAGAAATGTTACGAGGTGCGTTGTGTTTAGTCCACCAAGTCGTCAGGTGACTGTGCTGTGTAACAACGACCCATTCATGCATTTAGTGATGCATTCTTTCAAAGAGAATTAAGTGGGCTGTGGATTTCATCCCGCTTTTATCATTTGAAATCATTGAAGTGAAAGACATTCAGTCAAAACACTGAAACGTGGTGAACGTGGCGCCAACTGGTTTGAATAAAGAGGCTCCAACATCATAAAAGTTGCATGAAGACCAAAATTAATTAAATATGTTTTTCAGTCGCCGTGAAATTTTACAGCGTATCAACTTTATATCTCCCTTGTTTACTTCAGCGTTACCGCAAGAAGTTCAAGGTCAAATAAGAATGCTAATTTCCTTTCACTTTGCAGGTTGTTTTCAAACATTTATACTTCGTAAATCAGCATATTAAAAATTTCGTTTCTACTCAACTTTCCAAAATGAGTACTCTTTAAAGCCTTAGTACGATCTGAGGTTTGAGCCTCTTCCGAGTAAGCAGCCCTAACTGGTCAAGAGAGGCGAGTCGAATTATTCTAAAATAATTTCTGTTTTCCAACAATAAGTCACTGCTGCACGCATACCATTCCATTCTCGTGCAATGCCATACAAAGCAGTTATTCGTAAAGTAAAAAAAAAATCCGTGTAATTTTAATGCCAAATTCTGGAGTATGTTTTCTCACACTGGCATCATATTATTATAGAAACAAGCTTGTGCACTTGGTATTGATTAGAAATTACCAGAAAGCTTTACTAGGAGAATTCTTTTGTAGTCAGCCAAATTTTATTAAAACTTCCCATGCTGAGTTTGTAGCAGAAGAGACTTTTTGTTTGTTAACAGCATATATTCTCACTGTAATGCACAATTTTTATTGTCAAAGAATATCAGAAGAGTTTAATTGCACTGATCTTGTCAGGCGCTAGGATCGATCTAAAAGATGCGATATCTATGAACGAGATACCTCATATATAACACGAATAGGATTCAGGCCGATTTGTCTACCGGAGCCATCTAGTGGAGAATCAGGAGAGACATTGGTGAGAATTTGTTAATATTATTATTAAAATTGATAGTAGTATTATTAATAGTATCATTATCAGTAATAGTATTGTTATTGGTACACCTCTGTGTCGCAGCTTCGGTCAGGAAGGGGTAGTGCAGGGATACGTCTTGTCTCATACGACGGTAGTATAAATGTTGTTGGCCCTGCAAGAAGCATAAACTGCCTTGTGTTCGAGTGTGTTCTCGAAATGACTGCCGATTTCTGACGAGTACATCAAAGCGGAAGCAGTATCGAAGTCGTTTCTCGTTCATGTAAACGTGATACTGACGCGAGGTTTTATATCTCTTGTTTTTGTGATTTGTCGGGTGAAAGTTAAGTGATAAAGTGTAAAATGACATTCCTTTACGTGTGTTAAAATAGTTTGATTTGTAATAACGTTATAATTTCGATCACATGATGTGTGCGTGAGAGAAACTTGATCCATCCTGTCACTGTCATAGACGTGCAGCTGCCATTACGCCGTTCGGACTCAAATCCAGTGGTGTCAAGTGGACTGGCTGGCTTGAGGTAAGTGAAAGATGTTGGAGGATTATCAACATTTCTGGCATTTGATTAAAAGCCGAAGAGAAGACTGCAGTTATTTAGATAGGACTGTAGTTTCAATTTGTATACATATCTGCAGTAGAATACAGTATTTGGCCTGATGAAACTGTACGAGGTGTTTAGATATTCTCCTTACAAAAAGCGTTTATTAAAGTACAATAAGTAGATATAATGCATATTATGATAGGCTTATTGGAGCGAAATAATTAATGTACTCGCCTGCGAGGCGAAATACATTGTTTTGGTAGGCTGTTACCTTTTTGTTGCAGCAAACGAGGTTTAGGTTCAGATTTTAGGTTTGGTTTAGATTCAGGGCATAAGCTTTAGTTTAAAATTCTTCGTGTCTTGCTTTATGGCTGGATCAGTTTGGTATCAAATGAAGGAATACCTTTAAAATACACTGGCGAACGTTCCTATTTCTTCGTCCAGTGAAATGATGAAATTGCTTACTTGGTATGGCAATATTATGAATATGTTTTCCTATTGACAGGCAAAGAGAATTGCTGACAGAATTTGTTCTTCGCACGGGCGTTTATTGAAATGAAGTATAGAAATAATAAAATTGCTCATTGTGATGACTCTTAGGATTACAAATTCACATTAGCTAAAATAAATATTCTAGAGCTTTCGTTACAGAAATTCTGATGTGTGTACAATTATAAGGAGGAATATTAAAGGATTCCGTTTACAGCTCACCCAAATTATAAAGCTGTAATTCTTCAGGTTTTCGCCGCTGGAGTTCGGTGTACAACTTCGGCTTTCGGGGATGAGCTGCGTCGAATGTTAGAAGTTTTCCGTGCCCTGAAGATGGCAACTGCTGTGTCTACCGAAAAGAAAAAAAAGTCGACATTCGACGCGGCTCATCCCCGAAAGCCGATTGTAAAAGAGTACTTTATTTACTTGTCTTTTCGAGATATTTGGTTTGAATTACGTTTTATTTCATATGCCCAGATCTAATACGGCATAAAGCAATGAAATAGCAGACATTCTGCTGAAAAGATTGGTATGCGAAAAGCGTGCTTATTAAATATCAGTCCAGTTATCTGATATCAGGATAGGTCATATGGGGGGATGACTGTGGGGAGGTGGCGTTATCTATGGTGGAGTAGTGCAGCGATAGTGATGAACTTGTGCTAAACGATAACATATGCCCCCCGCTTTTCGAATCAGGGGTGATAATCCTGTAACAGACATTCAGGACCTGCGCAACGATCAGATATGCCATTTCCATCGGTACGCGAGAGTATCTAAACAGAAATTATCGTTCAAGCGTTGCTCAAGCGATTGAAGGTTCCCGCATGGTAACTGAAACATAAATTAGACCAACGATTACTGTTTAATTTCGCGGTTTTGTTTTGTATATACTGTATATTTCTATCATTTTATTTAATATGGCGGTTTTACTGTGGTTGTGATTATAATGTACTAAGTTTTCAGCAGAAATTGATTCCCTGTTCTTATGCTGAAATTAAGAATTACACGCATTTCTATTTATTTTCGTAATAAAACGTAGTGCATACTCACGGTTCCTTAAAAATCCCAAGCAATGGTGTTCCCTCAGATTGCAGCATAGATGTGCACCAGACATAAGGAAAACGGTGAATGCATGCGATGGACATTTAGAACACTTAATACGACATTGCTTTTCTTGTTATCTGATTTAATTGTATTTTATTTTTTGACAAATAGGACGTATATCAGGAATGGGTTGCCCTATTTTTCGGTCACTCGTATTAACTCCGCTCTGGAAGCGGAACGTACAGCGGAACGGTAGCTTTCCATTTCATTATTTTGGTTTGTTTGCCTGTTGTGTTTAACGACATGTAAACTGCGGGTATGCAGGTATAATAAAGTGTGTAGGGTATACGCATATTGAGCAAGTGACCACCAGTTTTGTGTGTGGTATTCATGGAATGACGACATCGTAACCGAACGAACGTGACTTAAGATTCTAATTTGTGTCACATTTTACTTTTGATTTTTTTTATCTAAACTGCGCTTTATAGTATTGTTAGGCCTGTTTACTTTGTAAGATACATTTCTAAATGGGCTATTAAATAATCCTGCAAAGGTTCTCATTTACTGTCACTACTAAACTATGCACACTCCCTACTAATGTTTTATTATACGTACAAACTACCAGTCAGGTAATATTTTCAAGAGAAGCCACAAATTCATTGTCATTCGCAAAAGTTCTAAAAAAACATCAGCTTTTTGAGATATCACACATTTGATCCAAAAAGAAAATAAGTTATTGATTGAAAATTCGCTTTACAATACATTGATATTGCTTAGAACTGGTCCAATGGGAAGCAGAGTTTGTTTCAGTTCTACTCTGTAATCCAATCAATTTGTTACTATGACGACGGGGCCTTATCGAAAAAAGGGGAAGAGAAGGGCGCAACAGGAGTGGGGTGTGACGTAACATGGGGGCAAGTTGTATCCATCTGTTGCAGAAAATTCAGGGTTCGCACTGCTCAGCCGATCCTGTTGCTGACGAGGAACACTGAGTTCGAATACCGAGCGGTCCGTGAGGAAGTATCTCGTTTCTTCGGCCACTTTCTGTCTGTTGTTTGTCACTGGTGATGTGTCAACTCGATTCCTCGGCGGGATTTGAACAGTTACTGTCTGACTACAGTGCATAAATTATGAGATACTACGTCGAATTAGAGGTCTCCTCGGGCCTGGTTCAAATGATACCAGTCAAACGCTTTTTTGGACCATTATTTTTTCGCAAAGGCAAAGTTATTCGTAGTTGAGCTCATCTTATGCTCGGGACACAGTCGGGGCTCCGGAAGCAAATCCCATTTCCTTTATTTTATCCGGGATTTTCGTAGCTGTCCCTCCCAGAAATAGCTCGAGGCAACAACTGACAAACTTGCTATCTGGAGTCTATGTACCATTCCTGAAACGACAAAATAACTTCAGCATATAAGCATTGAAAGAAATATGTATTTATGGTACGTTTGTTGGGGCAGATTGTAAATATATCGGACTTAGGTTAGGTGCAGTTAACATATTTGAAGACAAACTTTGGGCTCGGACAGGAGGTCCTGGAGAAATACTAAAATCCCAACCATTGTCGATATCTACCTTGAATTAGGCCACGACTGCTTCCTTCCACATCTTTTTTCAATTCATTATGCAGTAATCGTTCTATCATTCGACCATGTACAATCAGATATTTTGACACAGTCGAATAATTTATAAACAGATTAGCAGAACACGTAAACATGATGTCATAAACATCCCCTTGATCTCTCTCCAATTTTCAACTGCATTGAGATTTGTTTTAAAACTATAACTTATTACAAGGACGTGATGAGATAAATATTTATTTTCATATAACATTTTTCTAAAATATTCTTAAATGTTTAGGCCTAATTAACAATGCAGTTCGTAAAATACCAGATTAAGAATCGATAACACTTTAGTTCCCAGTTTTTCTCTGTGACAATGAAGCATGGACAAAATGTCCCAAATACAACACCAGAATCAATGCTACAGAGATGAAACTCATTAAACATTCCTTAGATTGTACGTGGAAACACTGTAGAGGAAACCAAGCCATTTTGAATAAACTAAATAGCTGATCACCATTTTTCAAATTGTAGGCCAATGAAAGATATTTATTTTCAATGTTGAAAGAATGGAGAAAAACGAAGTAATCTGACTGTTAGACAGTTAACGCCAGAATGGATCAGCAAATGCCCGAACGTATTAGTTGATGTTACTAAAGTACGGTTTTCTCTCTGGAATACTGGCCGCGTGTTGACAAATTTCGTGTTATCATGCCTTCAAAATGAAAAGTTGCCGCTGCAATATTGACTAGACACTTCCGATGCTCGATGTCGCTGTTGTCAGTGATGACTTTAATTTATAAAAAAATGCCATATTTTGGTTATGCATTTGTATGTGATGTAAAATCGCAAATAGTTATATAACTGTCAACAAATTGCCGAAGATTTAAATAGATACATGTGTGAGTGTAAACGTAGAACGTACGCATCAATTTTTTTAATTATTTTATTGCTCTTTGTGGTTTATTAAACGACGTTATCAGTAGCTCAGACTGTAAAGTCAAATGATAGCATGAATAACGATAAATTAATTGAATCGATCGTGGGCTAACTTGGTGTACTATACTTGAAATTGGCTGGAGAGACTGGTGAAGACAACGAGAAATCTTGGACAGAAGAGCCGGTTTATATACTGAGAGTTTAACCCGGGACCTCCGGAATACGAAGCAGGGACTTTAGTGACTCTGCGTTAAGCTGTCGGCGTTACTTTTGATGCATTCTGTAGTGACTGGACTCGCTCTGATGTCTTGTGTATACATCAAGAGTTCGAATTTGACTGGATGATACATAAAGTAGCCACAGATTTAAAGCCACTTGAACGATTAATGATTGATAAAACAGAACTAATGTTTGTGCGTGAATGTTTTCTTCTCTAAGTAATGCGTTACTAACAACGGGCCTCAGAAATTCATGGGTGGCAGAACTGAGAGCATATATTTTAAAATACACGATTTAATTGAGCTGTTTAGAATGAAGTAAATCGTTTTCAAATTTAATAAATGCAGATAAATTAGGATGTTTTCTCAGACATTTGAATAATTTTACCAAACAATTATTTATGTTTGAATATTGCAATAAGATTCCCCTACAAACTGACAGTCTGTGTATCCATGAACTATAGTTCCATTCTTTAATTAAAGATTCCTATCTATTAACAATACATGCAAACTTTCATTACAGTACATTAGCTTATGAAAACGTCAATATATGTACTGGTTATGTTGTGGAATAAAGAATGAAAGCTGGTATCTGACCCGGAATAGATAACGTAGTTTGTGCTGAATATATTAATAAATTAATTTACGCATGATTACAGTATAATGAAAACCATGGACTTGCTGTCCATAATAGTCAGTCTTTAGGTGGGATTCGAACATAAGTGGG